ATGACCCCGGGTTGAAAACTCTCCTGCTGTTCTCGCAGCAGTCAACCAAGTGCCTCTGGAAAACCCTCAAACAATACCTGAGCATAAGAGGACTCTCCCCTCCTGCCATTTGCAGCAACTAATATTCAGAAGCATTACTGCTTCCATGACACACCCATAATCACAGATGACCCACTCCACAAATCTTACGTCCAGGATTAGACTCTGACTGACCCAATCTATCAGTGATAGCAACATGGTAATCTGTCTCCATTATTTTGAACATAAGTTTAATGAATGGATTATTCTTTCTCAGTGGAGACTGGTGGTCCTTAGAACTGGTAGGGCGGAAGGGATGGAGCTCAACAGAAGGGGCGCCAGAGAGCCAAGTGATCCTAGTTTTGTCCCCATTTTTCTCCCTGATGACTTCTGCAAGGGTAACACTGAGCCTAAGGAGGAGGAATCTAACAGGTAGTGCCACCCTCTGGACTGTTTGGAAGTAAGGAGGTAGTTGAATGGGGAACCGTTTTAAAAAATATACTTTATTTATGATTTTTAGTTTTCTACATTTCAATAATTTGACAATCATTTTGACATTTCAGAACTTGACTTCCTTCCCCCTCTTTCTGCGGTACCTTAAATTTATTTTTAATATTTTCTGCATATCCAAATTAACTTAGTTTGCTTATTTATTCACCTACTTTAAATATATACTCTTATAAAACTGCAGGTTATTACAATAATCCTGCCAATGTTCTTATCTGTTTACAGTTTGTTTGTAGATATGCAATAAACAATTTCCATTCTTTTATAAAAAGTTTGCTATCTTGATTTCTTATTCTTCTGGTAAGTTTTGCCATTTCTTTTTAGTTTTTGTATCCATTCTTCTTTTGCTTGGTCTTCTTCTTTCCATTTTGGGGCAAGTAACATTCTTGCCACTGTAGTTGCATACATGAATACATTTTTATACAGTTTGAGTAGTTCTGTCCCTAGAATTCCCAAAAGGAAAGCTTCTGGCTTCTTCTTTTTTACAACATATTTATTTCTAAACATCTTTATTTTCTTTTAAAAATCTTTTCCAATTCATTATATATCATTTCCCCATAAGCTTTAACCTTACTACAAGACCACCACATATGATAAAAACGGGAAGATACTTTAGCCTCTACATGTAGTTGTTTCAATGGCTTTAAAATGGAGATTGAACAAACAAAAATTGATTTTCTAGGTCTTTGGGGTTCACAGCATCTACGTAGGAAGGAATTGTCTAGAACAGATAGATGCTGGCAACTTAACATGGATGATGCCTCTTTCTGAAAGTGGATCCTGCAAACATTTTTGATCGCATAGAGACTAATATAGAGACTAAATTTAAGGAACCGTATTTAAAGTATTTAACCCGAGGTACCACTGTAAGTTAAGTCCAGTTGCGGATGACTCTGGGGTTCATGTGGCCAGCATGACTGAGTTACTTCTGGCGAACCAAAGCAGCGCAGGGAAACGCCGTTTACCTTCCCACCGGAGCGGTACCTATTTATCTACTTGCACTGCATGCTTTTGAACTGCTAGGTTGGCAGGAGCAGGGACTGAGCAATGGCAGCTCACCCCGTCGCGGGGATTCGAACCACCGACATTCTGATCGGCAAGCCCTAGGCTCTGTGGTTTAGACCACAACGCCACGCACTGTACTAATACTAATACTAATACTAATACTAATACTAATACTAATACTAATACTAATACTAAAATACTAATACTAAAATACTAATACTAAAATACTAATACTAAAATACTAATACTAATACTGTACTTCAAAGCTAGGAAGATAAAAACCCACCACCCACTATGCAAGTGTTAGATCACACTTTCTAGTTCATCCCCCCCCCCCCCCATCACTTCCCCTATTATAAAAGTCTGCCGGGGGCTGAGCAAGATCTTCAAATCAACTATAATCAAGCAACCTGAATTTGCCAGTATGTGATTGAATCCCAACCCCAAATAATGACCGTCTGAGAACTTCCTGGGAGTCTTTTTTTCAGCTGAAGAAACCACAAAGATCTGATTATTAATAAATTCAAGGAACGTGCACCTACATCTATTTAATTGTGTATACATGGAATGGGAAGCTGTGTTTTGTGGAGCAGTGAATCTGCGGAATTCACTGCCACAAGAATTCACTGCCAAGTCACCAACTTTAGAAGGCTGTAAGGGGTGTGGGTGTGTGCTAGACAAATTCACAGAGGACAAGACTATCAGTGGCTTCCAGCCAAGATGGCTATGCCCTGTCTCCACTGCTGGATACCAGCCGCTGTTGGAGGTCACAAGTTGGAAAAGCAGCACAAGTCCTACTTGCAGGGTTTCCCATCAAAGCATCGGCTTGGCCACTGTGAGAACAGGTTGCCTGACTAGGTGAGTTGCTGATCTGGTCCTTACATTCGTAGATCATGCCAGTTGCGTGACAGTCTGCACAGGGGATCTCCTCTTATGTGGAAGCAACAGCTCTGTAGGAGAGAGTGCTTGCGTGTGAAGCAGCTTTTAGTTTATGGTGTGTGGAGCCACAACAAGGAGAGAGACAAAGAGAGAGAGAAAGACAGACAGAGATGGTTCCAGGGGAAAGGATCAATGGATGGAGGCCACATATCACACAGAGAGAAAGAGGGCAGCAAAGTGAAAAGAGATGTGTGTGCGGGAGGGAGAAAGTTTAACATAGATATGAACAAGTGTGTTGGATCAGGAGGACTATGGAGTGATCTGAATCTCTGTGCCAAGATGGTTATCAGAGATTCCCTTATGATCTCATGGCGTTTTGTTTCTGACTGCCTCCGATTCCAAACCAAGCAGAAGCAAAGGAGTGAATGAGTCTATGTGTGTGTGTTTGTGTGTGAGTGTGAGTGAGTGATGCACATATGCTCGCTCACACCCCAGTGCTGTACTGAGCCAGGAAATCCAAAGGCCAACACATTCGCCTCCTCTCTCTCTCTCTCTCTCCAGGGCAGGAGAAAGAGTCGCGCAGAGAGAGGGAGCGAAGCAGAGAGAGGCAGCAGACGAGTGGAGCTCTTTGCAGCCCGAGCATCAAACTTTTTGCAAGTAAGGAGGGGATTCCCTGTGGGGCAGCTGAAGCAGGGAAAGTCCTGGGGGAAGTGGTGTTGTGTGCTAAAGATGCCCTGCAGAGCATCTGAGTTTTGAAAATATATTTGGGCTTTCCTGAAAGGATCCCCGAGCAGCTACAGTGATAAAGGAAAGCATTGTTTTGCTAATGAGAAAGTTGAGTTTTTAAGAACATGTCATGGTAACAAGAGACTGACAGGCTGGGGAGAGAAGGGAGCAGGTAAGAAAGTTTGATGTTGATAGACAGATGTTCGCTATCCTACGTAAATGTATCCGAACAGTAATTTGGTGCAGATGAATGGGAGTGAAATGGGAGAGAGAGAGAGGGACAGATGGATGGATGGATGGAACGGAAGAGAGATTAAGGGTGGATGAAGGCAGGGAGAGATGAAGCAGTGTTAGAGCAGGCAAGAGAAGGCAGTGCTGTTTGACACAGGGATGAGTTTAATGCACGAGTTTCAATCCCTCAAGATCTAGTTGCAATCTATAGAGCACAGACAGGTGGCTTTTTAAATAATAAAGTATTGTGCTTACTAAAGTCATGATGGCATTGTGAAGAAAATGTGAATTCATTGACGAAAATAAAAAGTACATCGGCTGAGCATAGCCATTGAAGAAGTATCGCAAAGTGTGAATGAACGGAATGATGCTCTAGAGGGACGAAAGGATAACGAATGGTTGCGTCTTATCTATGAAACTATAATTCCTCTGGTGTCACCGGGCAGCTTGTGAGAACGTTTCCAGGAATCTATCTTATCTCTAAAGCTATAATTCCTCCGGTGTAGTCAGGCGGCTTATGAGAACGTTTTCAGAAAACTGTCAAAGGACAGCTCTTTCAGCGAAGAGAGAGCCACGTGGAATTCAAAACCTACTGGGGTAGCGTGTGGGTCTCTGTGTGGATTTCACAGTAGATTGGCAAGTGGGGTTGATTGCCGGCTGTTCAACAATGGCAGCAACAAGAAAGCCAATCTTCCTGCCTTTGTTGGGGTGATGAAAGGGAGAAGAACGGTAACCCAAAGTGGACTTTTGTGTGCGCTCAGTTCAGTTCCAGCACTGAACATTAATTCATAGGTTAACCATGTGCTCAGAGGCACACAGTTCTTTCACACTACCCTGGCTCTTCTGGATAGATATTGGGCAGCCTTCACCCACCTGGTGCCCTCCAGGTGTTTTGGACTACAACTCCCATCAGCCCCAGCCAGTGATGAGAGTTGTAGTCCAAAAGCACTGGAATCCAAAGCATGTGTTGGCTGGAGTGCACCCGGAGGGCAAAGGCTGAATCTTGTGGTTCAAGTGAGGGGTGTGTGTGAATCTGTCCATTTAATTTCCATAATTTTGTATTTTTCCAATTAGAAGTTCAGTTCTCCATATTTCCACCTCAGTTTGCTGCTATTAATATTCTTATAGCAAGTCCTCAGGAAAATTCCGCAGCATTTTTCCCAGTAATACACCTTTTAAAAGCAGAATGTCTATGCAAGCAATTTCCCCCAAACGTTCTTCATTTTGGTATGTTATTTTCACAGTTATATGCAGTTTTATGCATGCTTTACCCCAGCACATGTATTTCTGTACACATTTATTGGCTGGCAGGACTGCACTGCAAAGTTCAGAGAAGTGTGAATTCTGAAGGATGGTTAGGTTTTGTCTTGGAAAGCGTGGATTGGGTACCTCTACCTTTTGACATGAAGTAAATCAGATTTCTCTCCCATTCCTACTAGTGAGAGAAGCCAGCTCTGACAAGTCTGAAGTCTGCCCTAGATATCAGATGCTTGTGTGTGTGTGTTTGTAGACATTGGGGCTGTCTCCTGTCTGAAACCCTGGACAGCTGCTGCCAGTCAGTGTACACAATACTGAGTTAGATGGGCCAGAGGTCCGACAGCATAAGGCAGCTTCTCATGTTCCTAGTCTAGAAAGGACCTTAGCTCAGTGGTTAGAGCATCTGCCTAACATGCAGAAGGTCCCAGGCTCAACTCTTGCCATCTTCAGTGAGGTCTAGGAAAGTCTCCCTGTTTGAAACCCTGGTGAGCCACTTCCTATCAGTGCGGCTTAGATGGACCAATGTAGAAGGCCATTATTCTACATTCCTATCAGTTTCAAGGAAGGGCAGTTTTCCAGAGCAGTAGACATCTTAGTCCGTTGCAGCAAAACCAACGAAGAGTCTTGTGGCACCTTAAAGACTCACAAATGTGGCCTTTGTGGTCCAAGCTCCATCTCACCCAACTCATGGAATGTGACCCTGTGTTGCAGGCATTTAAGAGGAGGGCGAAAGCAATGGGAAGGGGCAGAGGTAACTGGATGTACTGAAGCATAGATAGCAAGGTGGGTGAAGGATAAAGGCTGAGATAAAAGATTCAAAAGAGGATGGGGCTCCTGCTGCTTTAAGAGGGAAACTCGGCAGGTATGCCACTATTAAAGATGCAGGAATCCTGTCCTCTTTTGCAACTGGTGTCCCTAAGAGCAAACTATTGCTTGGGGCACAGAACTGGATAGACTGAGAGTCTGGGGTATATTAATACAATCACCAAAGAGGACATAAAAGTTGAAGAGAACGAAGATGTAAGGGAAAGGAAGATATCGACGAAGAAGTTAAATGATGCCTAGTTAGATGGAATCATAAATCTGTATCCAATTCTAGTAGACTCATTTATTTTAATGGGCATAACTAATTCATGATTTCGTTGGGTCTACTTTGAGTAGGACTCAGTTGGATACCACCCAAATATCATCTAGTCCAACTCTCCTGCTGATGCAATAAATCTACTGGTAGTTTGGCCACCAAGGTTCTCTGAAAGAAGGAGAGTCTTTGTCTCCTTCCAAGTCCATCTCTGTTCCAGAGTTGAATGACTTACATTGTCAGGACATTCTTTCCAAAGTTCAGTCAAAAACCTGTTTATTGTTGTTTGAACCAGTTGTTTGGGGCGACTGGAAACAGATCTGCCTCATCAGAGAACTTGATGCTAGATTTATGGCATAAAACGATGTGGTTGCAGGCTTTTTAGGGTTTTTTAAAGTCAATTCCAGGGATGCAGGAGCCTAGGACTTGCCGATCAGAAGGTCGGCGGTTCGAATCCCCGCAACGGGGTGAGCTCCCACTTCTCAGTCCTGCTCCTGCCAACCTAGCAGTTCAAAAGCACGTCAAAGTGCAAGTAGATAAATAGGTACCGCTCCGGTGGGAAGGTAAACGGCATTTCCGTGCACTGTTCTGGTTCGCCAGAAGTGGCTTAGTCATGCTGGCCACATGACCCGGAAGCTCCCTCGGCCAGTAAAGCAAGATGAGCGCCGCAATCCCAGAGTCGGCTATGACTGGACCTAAAGGTCAGGGGTCCCTTTACCTTTAAAGTCAATTCCATCAAGTGGTGGACTGTCTACCAGCTCATGGGAGAAATGCAGGGTGAGAAATGCACACATGAAGCAGTCCTAGCCAGAAAGCTGGAAGAGGACTGGACGATCCTTTACTGATTCCATTTATTTCCTTATATCTCTAGCCTACCTGCCCAAGGGGGCTTTTGCATGGTTCTCAAGAGGTTGCCCATCCATGCACAGACCAGACCTCCTTAGCTTCAGCAAGGCAGTGGCCTCGCCTGCCTTCAGCATGGGCTCCTTAACTATAGCAAACTCCTACTGTGCTTTGACATCTGCAATGGTTGGTGTCCATTTGGGCTGGTAGGGTGAAAAGAAGGGAGCTCAACAGTAGAGGGAGCCAGAACCAACAGCAAGCAGAGGCAACCAATGCTAGTCTTGCCCCCTTCCTCCTCCCTGCTGAGTTCTTCAAGGGCAACACTGATACCAATGCTAACAACAACAATCTTATTATTTATACCCCTCTCATCTGGGTGGGTTGCCCCACCCGCTCTGGGGAAGACTAAGGGGGAGGCTGGTTGTAAGAAAGAAGGCAGGAAGGTGGGGCCTGACTGAAGGCAGAATGAGGCTGGTGGGGCAATGCCCCCTTCGCCTTAATGGACTATCCTCCACTGTTCCACATGCCTCCATTTTGATACTGCTGCAGCCTTCCAGTAGAGCCTTGTTCACGTCACTCCACCTAGGAGTCCAGGGACACTGATAAGGTGATGGTGATCAGGTGTGGAGCAGGATGTGCTGCTATACCAGGAGAAGGGGACCTCAAGGCCCAGGGGAAGGATATGGTCCTCCAGGACTCTCTGTCCAGACCTTGGGACTCTCCCCAGAGCCTTCACTGACTCTTCTCCTTGAGTGCTTTTGCTTGGACAAGACATGCCCTTGACTCACGATCATGCCTCTTGCTTGCCTGGAGAGGGGATATAGTGGATGGATTTTGGCAAGTAGGAGAGGATATAGTAAACTTAATTTATCTCTTCAGTCTCACGTGAGTGAGGTTTAGAGCTTTAGCTGCTCTGAGTTAAAATATTACAGGAATAAAAACAGAAACTTGAAACTAGGCTGCTTAGCCTTAAATATACTTAAATATGCTCCTGCCGTTTGGGATTCACCCTCTTTCCCTCCTACAAAAATAATCAGGCGGCAGACTGCGCAGTAAGCACAAGAAAATATGATGTTTACTCACATATAAGTCTTGCCAGGAGTCAGCACTGTGAAGAATACGAGGCCATTAGCGACACTTACAAGTTGCTTTCTACATACTAAAAGTACTAAGACAATGTTTGCTCTTGGGAGAGAGCAAATGACACATTGATTTCCATCAGCAGGTAAATGAGAAAAGAGGACGATAGAGACGAGGAGGAAATAGTAAGGATAAAAATCATTTGCCTAAGGTATATGATACCGCAGAGATATCCTCTCTGGCAATTCAGCTCTCTGTGAGCCTTAACCCCTTTATACACTTGTACAGTAAACATAAACTGTCATTTTGGCTGCAGATTTTCCCCCCACAGGATCGAGAGGTGTTGCCTGTGTTTGTAGAACCCTCTGGCTTTTGTGTTGTTGATATATAGCCAAAGAGTGACATTCTCTGCTCCATCTGCTTTTCCCTCTGTCCCTTCCCACTGCTGAAATGCAGGCTCTGGGAGATTGTGCAGAAGGACATGTGCCTTTGGGGCTCTGCTTCCCTCTGCGTTGTTATACCTTTGGTCTGATCCAGCAATTCAGTTCCTTTCCCCATGATGGTGGTGGTGGCTGGTAGCAATTGGGACTGATAGGGTGGAAGACAGGGAGGCCGACAGCAGGTGGCGCCAGAGCCAATGAGAGGCAGAGCCAGCTCATTCTAGTTCTGTCTCCATCCTAATCGCTTCTGAGGGTGAAACTGGGACAAAGGGGTGGGCATTTGATGCTCATTGGATGGCTCTGAGCAAATCGCTCAACCTAACCTTCTTCAGAGGACAGAAACATAGGGAGCTGCCTTATACCAAGTCAAGTGGTCCATCTAACTCAGTGTTTCTGAACAGACAGGCAGATTATTTATTGGGTTTCAGCCAGCAGGGCCTTTCCTTAGATAGATCAGAGAGGTCTGACTCTCCATAAGGCAGCTTCCTGTGTTCCTATGTAAAACTGTCATAGCAAAAAGTCACAGCAGCAGTAGATGATAGCACAGATGTCCCAAAACTGGCAAAGGGAATTAACATCTGAGAGGAGAGGTTCTCGAGAGAAGACATTAGAATCATAGAACTGTAGAGTCTGAAGGGACCCAAAGAGTCATTTAATCCAACCTGCCACATTGTCGGAACCACAGCTAAATAACCCCTGACATTCAACCTCTGTTTAAAAACCTCAAAGAGAGTCCAGTCCGCTCCATTGTCAAACAGCTCTTACCATCAACCTGGTTTTGTTTGCAGTATTTTCTTCTTTCTTTTTTAAATTTTTATTAACAATTTCAACATAACAAACTATCAAAGCAAATCATCTTCATTATTTCCCCCATTTCCCCCCTAAGACTTCCCTCAGCTCCTCTCTCTGATTTCTCAACCTATATTAACTTCTGCATATTGTAAAATTGTACACATCCTTATATTATCTGTCTACTATGTTAACCCTCAATAAATTCGTGTATGTTTATTCAAAACCTGCCAAGAAGTCCAGCTCATTTTGTTGTCTTTTTAAATAATTTGTGAAAGGCTCCCAGGAAAAGCACTATTTTCTAACTAAGTGAAGATGTACTTGAAGGAACACTGGAGAAGTGTGCATGCACACGAAAGCTTATACCAGAACAAACTTAGTTGGTCTGTAAGGTGCTACTAGACAATGTTGTATTATTATTATTATTATTATTATTATTATTATTATTATTATTATTTCGACTGCGTCAGACCAACACGGCTACCTACCTGAATCTAGGATTGAAGGAACACTGTTTAGGGTATTGTGTTAGGAATTCTGTTACTCACTGGAGGCCTTCATGTGCATAAGAGCACAGTGGCTGTTCTCACAGATATTCATGGGATGCCCAACGGCAGGAATTGAGCACAACGTTACTCTAGTCTCCCTTCCTGCGGTTTCCAGCAACTGGTATTCAGAAGCATGCAAAGGATGTGAGTCCGCCCCAGATGTTGCTGGACTTCATCTCCCATCAGAACCAACAGCCAGCATGACCAAGGGTCAGGGGTGGCGGGAGGCCTTGTCCCAGCAACATCTTGAGGGGACGGCGGTACAGATTTGCCACCCCTGCTTTCTACTGTGTCACTGATTCACCTGAATCCATGTTGCTTATGCAAGATCCACACAATGTTGTTGTTGTTTAGTCATTTAGTAGTGTCTGACTCTTTGTGACCCCCTGGACCAGAGCACGCCAGGCACTTCTGTCTTCCACTGCCTCCCGGAGTTTGGTCAAACTCATGCTGGTAGCTTCGAGAACACTGTCCAACCATCTCATCCTCTGTCGCCCCCTTCTCCTTGTGCCCTCAATCTTTCCCAACATCAGGGTCTTTTCCAGGGAGTCTTCTCTTCTCATGAGGTGGCCAAAGTACTGGAGCCTCAGCTTCAGGATCTGTCCTTCCAGTGAGCACTCAGGGCTGATTTCCTTCAGAATCCATAGGTTTGATCTTCTTGCAGTCCATGG